GTCTCAGTAGCATGTGCCATCTATCAACTGACAACACACCGACTAAAGACTTCCATCTTGAGACACCGCGGTGTTTAGGATGAGAAGATTGCCGATCGCTCCCAATCCTAGATGGGTTCGACGATCGATCTCTTCTTTGAAGTTGAACCTACCTAGCTGGACAAATTGCCCCAGGTCAACGTACTCGTCATACCTTGGAGCTGTGGCCACCTCTACCCATGACTTTCGTCTTGACAATGTTGTGCACTAGAGGCGCTACTAAAGTCAAAACAGCGCACATTTTAATTATTACTAGTGGTCCCGCAGTAATCGAAATTCGACTATAATTAATTGAAATTTTATGTTTAAACAAAGAGTATATTTATAAGTATGTGTTGTGTCAAATACATGGTAGTGTGTGTAATACTTTTTTTATTGATTCTATGTATTTTTTATGCATAATTTAAAAGGAATATTAGCATTATACACTCCTTCTCCATATTCTCTATAAGTGTGGAAAATTTCATACGCCTCCGTCCACGCAATTTTCGTAAAAAGGGGTACAAAAATTTTGCTTCACGTATTAATATACAGATGTTATATCATAATGATAATATAAAAGACAATTAATAGACCTTAACAAATCAACGAGACTATTTATTACCTGTTTTTTTTTTAATCGAGTCTAATTTGTCGAGAGGTGCTCTTCTAAAGTTCTACACTTTTAGACAGACAGTTAAATATTTGTTTATCAAGTAAACATTCTGAAATTGTTGAAGATTAGGTATAGAACATAAATTTATTCAAAATATAACCAGTTTATGAAAAAAATACGGTGGGAGATAGTTTTTGAAATGTGGAATATTTCTATCACAGGTTATTTAAAAAAAGCTATAATTTTATGGAATTAAATATATACTTTTATTTTTAAACAATAACTATTATAACCAAGGGATATTTTGCGATACATAGGCCTTCGTCCAATATATACTTGCCAAGCTTAATATGTGCATTACATTATAAATTTACTCGTGGGAACAAATGAAGGTAACATAATCCAGTTCACTCTATTCCACAACCTCTTCGTGTGCAAATCAACTCTGAGCTTCCAAAACACAGCATTATATCTGAATGCCAATAAGGCTTTAGCAAAGACGACAAAAAAGTCAATCGCGAACACAACTGAAGGAGAATTAAAAGTTCGTACGGTGAGCTTTTTGAAGATAAAAGCTTTAGAATTCCCTAACGTTAATCGTGGAGTGCGGGGGCAGGGTATCAGAGGAGAGGGTAGGCAAGGAGCGGTTCAGATCAAAGGCTTTGTTTGAGGATTAACAAAGACTACATACAAATAATTTTGGTCGGCTCCAGTCTTCTCTTACATCTACAGCCGAAATAACTTTACAGTTTTAAATTCGGGAATTTATTGTATTTCTTTTGTACAGCGCTTCTTCCAAGAAATCATCGTTTCTCATGTCCAGGGTAATACATATGTACATTACACCTACCTGATTGGTTCTCAATGAACTGGTCCATTCATCACGAAGCCGACTCCACTCTATAGTGACAGTATTCGTGTGGCTGACTAAGTAGTACTAGGTGGTACTGCGACAACGCCCCCAGCCACCACGTCTCGGATCATGTAGTCTACACTCACTATTGTTGTCACAACCCCGATACTCGAATTATTGTTTATGTATTGAATCTTGCCTGTTTGTCTGACCAGTGTATCTTTCAAACGCATGAGTAAATTAGCTTGATCTCTGGTGGAATGCTCATTATAATATATTAATCATCTGATAAACTGAACAATTTAACATTTTATGGAAGCGTTAAGTATTCGCGAAGAAGCAGGTGGTGACCGTGGACCTCTAGCAGCCGCGCAGCATACCCGGTCTACTTCTGCCCCGGAGCACTCGTTCATTTCAGTTTGGAAGAGTGGAAGAGCCGCTCGCTCTACTACGCAAAACAATTGGAGGATAGCCAATCACCCATAATCACGAAATCACGAAAACTTTAACGGTTTCGACAAGACGGGATTGAAAGAGTTCGTGAACCATGACTGTGTCTACGGAGGTCATGTAGCCCATACAGACAAACACTTTACTGATGCGCCCTTCAAATCAGAACTCACGTTAAAATCTGTGCATTGCTACATTTTGTCTATATTCAAGGAATATTTAACAAATGATAATTGAACACACGTACATGGTAAAAGTGAGCTCAGTATGTCGGATCGTGTAATGGACTGGTGAACTAATGCAGAGCGGCGGGCGACATCTCTCCGGGTCTAATATTTACATTTCCCCGAGTGTGCAGATTAGCCCTTTCCCCGTCCGCGGCTAACAACTTCCCGAACTTGAAGTTGTTTAGTGCCGCCCTGGATAAAGTAAATCAACAGAGAAATCCTTTCTCTTTTTGCTATTCATTTATTCGAGAAGTTTCGGCCGATGTCAAACGTCTCCCGGGAGCGCGCTCTAATGGAAATGAACGCAGATTTCTTTGAGATTAGCTCAACTTTGAAATTTTGTCAAAGATCAATTAATTGCCCCGCTCATTTTTATTCATTATACAATTTTGTTTACCTACTAGATTTTTCAGTATTTTTTAACTTCGAATTAGAAAAGAAAAATCAAAGTCAATATTTCGTAAAAATCATTTAATAACTCGATACAAATAAAGTAGAATAGAAATAAATCGCATCCGAAAACGTAGTCGTTTCACAAATCTGAGACAACAGACAGAACACGACGAAGCAAATGAATTTAATATAATTTAAGGTTGCATAAGGCTTGCATTTAAAACAATCACGTACAATAATATACAAGGTACGTTCACTATGAAGACCATTACATAGTTAAATTCAGACACAATCAAGGAACACAGACTACTAAACCCAAAGTCGCTCTCATCTGATGTCTCGCTCGACAAAAGACTTTATCCAGCTGTTTTATATTACTGCCTTACACTTCAAATTACATCAAAATCTAGTAATCTCAGTAATAAACAGATCAACAGACACAAACAGATCGCGAGTGGCGAACATCGTGGCGATCATTAGCATACGTCGGGGTTGACACATGGGAGCTCGCAGGGTCCCCCAACACCAATTACTGATGCTGTTGTTACGATGCCTTCTACCAGATGGGACGGACGACCTGAATTTATTATCTTGAAAGTGGAATATGCAAATGACATTTGAGCGCGGCCAAAAATAAGTGGTCGGCTATATTTAGTGACATTGTGTGTAGCGTGTGTGGGTAGATGTTGACGGTGATCGTGACGTGGATACCCTCGCTGCCGTAGCTATGTACCGGCTGACGTTGATAAAGTTTACGCAGTACCGCGGGTGGCAAACGGTAACAACAGCCCCTTACGGTAAGTAAATTATTTCTTATTTCAGATATTTTGAATACGTATTTCGACGGTGGTCACGGTCACGATGAAAATAAGAATGAATTCCAAATCCATTTGTCAAGAGTTTCCTTAAGATGTATAATTGAAGGAGCGTATAAATCCACACTAGTAGACAATGGACCCGACCCATACGTGAACGCATGGAAGGCCTCGTCTCTTGTCTCGTGTTGGCTGGCAGTGCCTACAGTTTGTATTATAAATATTTAGTATTTTAGGGTGTGTATCATACCTACATATTGTACCACACGGGTACACATCACATATTCAACTCACCCCCGATCACCTTCTTTGGCCAACTTATTCCCTGGGCCAGGAAGGTCAAGTACCTGGGAGTCACTCTGCATGCATCTATGACATTCCGCCCGCATATTAAAACAGGCCGCGTTTATTCTCGGAGGACTTTACCCCATGATTTGTAAAGGGAGTAAAATGTTCGGAACAAGGTGACACTTTACAGAACTTGCATAAGGCCCGTCATGACTTACGCGAGTGTGGTGTTCGCTCACGCGGCCCGCACACAGGCACCCTCCAATCCCTACAGTCCCGCTTTTGTAAGCTAGCCGTCGGGGCTCCGTGGTTCGGGCAGCTGTTAGCATATCCCACCCCTCCTGGCTGAGTCTTTGCTCGCCCACCTATCCCGGTGAAACTGGAAAGGCCTCCGGGCCACTAGTAATACTTTAATCATAAAAAAAAACATATGCAATTGCTCTCTCTGTTCACTATAAAATTATTTAAGAATAACTGTTGACTGAATTAAGTAGGCTTAAGATTGTAGATCAACTCAGATACAGACGTCAAATCGATAGCCGATAGCGATGTTCGTATCCGCACAACAAATGAGATAATACTCGTAGGTTCAAGAAACGTCTTCAAGTAAGGCTTATGTAAAATATTTTTTATGCGCTCTCCAACTCCATCGCAGTTTCTCGGTAGACTGAGACGAATGTCGATAAGATGCGATAACTCTTAGGACTATTATTTATTCTTGACTAGCTGACCCGGCAGACTTCGTACTGCCTCAATCGATAAATAAAATACCTAAACTTTTGTAAAAAATAAACTTAAAACAAACAAAAGGAATCCGTCCGATGGGGGACACACCAAAGAAAAACAAAATTGTTATTTTTATTTTTAATTCCGAGCATTTTCATATTTATCTATCTTTCAAACCTTCTCTGGACCTCCACAAATAATTCAAGACCAAAATTAATCAAATGGGTCCAGCCGTTCTCGAGTTTTAGCGAGACTAACGAACAGCAATTCATTTTTATATATATAGATAGATAGATTGAAGTAGATTAAAAGAAATCTAATTGTGTTAATTATATCATTTATTACATTAATTGTCAATTTACATTAGAATAATTTTCATTTTATTTGGAAAATATACATATAAAAAATTTCGGAATACCTTAAATTATCAGATAATAATATCTAACTACTATCACTACTATCAGTCACACACACGTCTGCGTTCCTCTGTAGCCATTCGTCTCACGCGACCACTGCTTCCCGCCGAGCACGCTAAGCTTTCTCACGTTACAGATAATTTATGTTTAGATTAATTAATTACCCAGATGCCAAATAAATGATCGCACTACCTACGATTAGAGAAAGCATTGATGCCGCAAGGTGATGAAGACGGCGAGCAAGAGAGAAAGCAGCGCCGCAGTGGGCACAGTGGCAGCCGAGACGCAGACGTGGCGGCCCGGGCCCATGCAGGCTGCCCACGCCATGCGATGTGGCACGTGCGTCTGCTCGTACAGACCAGAGAACATCCAGTGGTGCACGCCCCATGCGAACACCGTGACGTCATCTCCGCCGTGCGTCTCCGAGTCCAGCGGGACGTCCGTGTGCGTCCTCCAGCGCAGCGCACCTGCGGACGCCACACGATCAGTAATATCCGATGGCAGTGAACCTCATCTGCTCCTGTGACAGTAACCTGCAATACTTACCGAAGTTGGCGTCGGTCGTCACGTCGGGTCGAACGCCGTTCTGCTGGATCCTTGCTCCGGGTCCGTTGGTGTACGAGAGCACCATGAAAGGAACCCTGCTTCTGTCCAACATTTGCACCGCCCCGAGCACGTCCATTCCTCGCGGTGAGTACCCGTTGAACGACATGACGTGGGTGTGGTCAGCGGTCACTACCACCAAGGACTCGTCCTCCTTGAGTGCGTCTGTGGCCACTTTCACGGCCCGATCCATCTCAATGGTCTCATCGAGCGCGAGGTGCGCGTAGTTGTCGTGATGCGCGTGGTCGATGCGCCCTCCCTCCACGAACAAGAAGAAACCGCGCTCGTTGCGACTCAGCACGCGGATGGCAACGTCTGTTAGCTCGGCGAGGGTTGGCTCCGTGCTCTCATCTCCCTCGAGATGGTACTGCAAGTGACTGCCCTCGAACAGTCCGAGCAGGTAGTCGGGCGGAGACGAACCCAGTTCCAAAAGTTCCTGTCGATTCCACAGATACTTGTAGCTCACATTCTGCGAATCCTTATCGTTCTGCCATTCTTCGATCAGATTGCGGCCGTCTGTTCTTAGACCTCGGGTGCCCTCTTCATCGACTTGGGTTGTCGGTAAAAATTCTCGTCTTCCTCCGCCAAAGATCACCTTAAAACAAAACAGCAAATGAAGTGAGAGCCTTACTCAGATATCTGCTTTATATCAATGCTGAAACATAATGTAAATACTTTAAATTTGTTTCCTGGCGCCATCTTGATCAGCTGGTGAGCGATGTCTGGACAGCGGTTGACGTCGTGGCCTTCTTGTTTCACGTCGTTATCATTCTCCCAGTTCCTGTTGGCGACTTTGGCGAAAGTGCCCGCCGGAGAGGCATGCGTGACGCGAGTGGTTGTCACTATACCTGTAGTGCGACATTCACCATCCTAATTAATATCTACAATAGAACATTTTTACGATTTTTACATTATCCTCAATATTAGAATGAATAAGAACCGACCAACATCTCTCCCGTCAGCCAGTGCCCACTCGGCGATGGACTGCACCCGCTTGGTGACGTCGTTGGAAGCCTCGCAGTCACGCCGAGAAACGGCGGCCGTCACTCCGAGGGTGCCATGATTGGCCTTCACGCCGCACAGGTATGCCGTCGCCGTGCACGACGAGTCCGGGACTTGAGCGTCCACGCAGTAGGTCTGCACAACAACAACTACGGTTCACTGCACTGCTGCACCGGTAATCCATTTGTTGACGGCTTTGCCGATTTGGTCCAATACGTCTAGCAATTTACTTGAAAACTAGTATGAACAGTAGGTATTTGGATGAAATTTGTATAGCATCTATATCCAAACAATAGTAACACAAAATTACAATAACAAGTAGACGCGGCATTTTCTTTTTAATCTGAAGTATGATAATTCGTAGAAACAAACTATAAAATGTAAAATATCTAAAGATCGCCCCATACAAAAGACTTGAAAATTTTCATGTCGCCAAACTCCAAAGTAATTTCTCATGTATATAACCGTCTCTTTAGTAGTAAAAAAAGGTGTACACTTCATCAATCCTACAAAACCAGCACAGTCTTTTGTGAGGCTCCATCCTGACTCAGCAATCCTCACTTGCCCGGTTCTTTTATTTGCCTCAAGATTTAATAAACCTCCAACCTTCTGTTAAAGTGCTTAAGAAATATAAATAAATATAATATATTAGAGACCTTCGCAAGACCGAGAGTGGGGAATTGTTCAAAGTGCAAGCTAGCCTCTTCTCCCGTCTGTCCGCGTCGCTGTCCGAGCAGCGTGCGCGCGGCGGCCAGCGTGGGCACGGACATGCCGTCTCCGAGGAACATGACCACGTTCTTGGCATGGCCGGCTGCTTGCTTCGCGCCCGCCCCCTCTCGCTCGCGTCTCTCGATGGCTTCCTGCGCCTCCCGCACCCAGAAGCTTGCCTCGGACTCGGCGGCCCTCCTCGTGGCTGCGCCGGCCTCGCGAGCCGCGAGCCACTCCGGGTGGTAGCGGTCCTCGGCCGTCACCAGCCCCGCCGCCGCCGCCACCACCGCTACAACTAACCACCATGTAGACATCGCTGTCTCTCACAGGAAGGAACTGAGCCCTGAGCTCTAACGCTACTTATTTATTGTTTTCGTATCTAATCTTTAATTTTTAATCTGAATTGATTAAATCAATACTTTTTACAATTTAATATGATAATTAATCGGACCGCGGGTTTTGATCTCGTCTACGAACCACACATCTATACTAATATTATAAAGCTGAAGAGTTTGTTTGTTTGTTTGAACGCGCTAATCTCAGGAACTTTTTTTTTATTGCCCTTGCAGGCAGACCAGCATACGGCCCACCTGATGGTGAGTGGTTACCGTCGCCCATGGACTTCAGCAGTGCCAGGGGCAGAGCCAAGCCGCTGCCACGGAAGCACAGTGGAGGGGAGCTCATTCCATAGCCGGATGGTACGTGGCAAAAAAGGCCTCTGGAAACGCACTGTCGATGAACGCAGCGGTTCCAGATGATATGGATGAACTCTGCTCCGATGGCGGGAGGTGCGATGATAAAAAGGAGACGAGGGGATCATCTCAAACAATTCCTCAGAGTACTCCCCATGGAACATACGGTACAAAATACAGAGGGAACCGAAGTCCCTCCGCAGACCCAAAGGTTCCAAACGATCCATGAGAATGGGTTTTTTTTTTTTTTTTTTTTTTTTTTTTTT